TTCGTGGAGAGGGTAAGAGATCTCGAAAAAGTTGCGAATGAACTGGCAGTAATAGTTGGCAAGGCCGAGGAAGGAACGGAGTTGGAGGAGGGTCTTGGGTGGGGGGTACTCGAGGAGGGCTGTGACCTTCGAGGGGTCCATATGGATGCCTTCAGCGGAGACAATGCGACCCTCGAAGCGGCAAACGTACATTTGCTGAGATTGGCGTAAATTTTTTGCTCTCGGAGGATCGAGAGGACTTGGCGGAGGTGTTGAAGTTGGGACTCGAATGTGGGGCTGAAGAAAAGGATGTCATCAAGGTATAAGGAGGTTGCAGAAGATGTGGTTCATGGTAGATTGGAAGGTAGCGGGGGCATTGGTGAGTGGCATCACGAGGATCTCGTAGTGCCCGAACCGAGAGCGGAAGGCCGTCTTGTGGGTGTCCTCCTCGCGGATACGGATCTGGTGGAAGCCACTGAGAAGGTCGATCTTGGTAAAGTACTTGGCTCTAGGGAAACGATCAAGGAGCTCGGAAATCCGAGGTACGGGGTACTTGTTCTTGATCGTGATCCGGTTCAAGGCGCGGTAGTCCGTGCACATGCGGAGTTCCGAAGTCCCACCTTTCTTAAAGAAAAGGCAGCTGGTTCCAAAGGGGGATGAACTTGGCTTAATGAACCCTTTTTCAAGGAGTTCACTGAGTTGCCGCTTCATTTCTTCAGCTTCGGGGACAAAGAGTTGGTATGGAGGGCGTCAAGGTGGAGAATGTCCGGGTTCCAAATCAATGGTATGGGATACGCCACGATCCGGAGGTAGTCCGGTGGGTAAGGACTCGGGAAAGACGTCCTTGAACTCATCGAGGATTGAGGTGATGACGGGGTTGGAGGGGGGGGCTTGATCGGGTTTGTCCGTCAGGAAGAAGTCCTCAGGACTTTCGCGATCAAGGACAAGACAATAGTAGGCGGAGTTGGGGTTCAGGCAAGCCATGTGGAGGAATTGGTGCGGGGTGACAGAGCCCTGGGAGGTCGGATATGGGAGATAGGGGATGTCGATGGTTGTGTCGGGGGGGTTGGTGAGGCGAAGGAAGTTGGGGTGGAATGCGTATGGCATGTAGCGGTCCAGCCACGGGGTTCCTAAGACGATGTCGCACATGAAGTGCATGACATCAAACGAGACCTGACTGCGGAGGGTTCCGACGGTCATGGTGGTCTCGGGAACCGTGCGGTCTACTACGACGGCGGTGTCTTTGTCCCCTAGGCGAATCGTGATCGGGGAGTCGTAATCGGTAGAGGTAAGACCGGCTTTGCGGACACACGCATCGGTGAAAAAGTTATCTGTGGCTCCAATGTCGAGGAGGGCCCGAAACTTAGTTGTAAACACGCCAAGGGTGGCAGCGATGAATTTGAGGTGGAAACGAGATGAGTTGGCGGTGGAGATGATGGTGTCGAGGCGGCGTTGTTCGTTGCCTAAGCGGACAAGCCGATCGTGTCGAGCTTGTTCCTCAACAAGATCGGAGAAGGTGACAGTGGATGGGTTTGGAAGAAGGGTAGAGGAGCATGAGGCAGTGGGAGGTGTTTGCGACGCCTGGGAGTCGTTCGGTGGAGGGAGCGTCACCGGAGAAGGGGGAGGCAAACGAATTGTCGATGCAAGATGAGCCATCAGGGGGACTGAGGACGTCGTCGATGGGTGGGCCGAAAGACGCGATATCGATGTCGGGACAATGTCCTGTGAACTGTGTTCATGATGAGGAAGGACCCGCGCTTGCCGAGGGCGATGATGCGGAGGTTGCGGGTCGAGTGGAGGCGGACTGGCGGGTGAATTGTGCGGCGTTGGGGCAGTTGGTTTGTTGGTGCCCCAATTGGCGACAACGGAAGCAACCCCCGTTCGCTTGGAGGTAGGTGCGCTCCTCGGGGGTGAGTGTCTTGAGGCGGGAGAGTGGGGTAGATGAGGGTGGACGGGAGCTCCGATCTCTGCGCTCCATTCTCATGAACTGGACGACATCGAGTTCCTCGGAAGTGAGGGATGAAGAGTCGTATGAATCGGAAGATGCGTCGGGGTCAGGTGTGGTGAACTCGTCCAAGGAAGGGATGGAGGTGGTGTCTTCAGGGGTGATGTGATGGACAAAGCGGGTGCGGGAGGGGGCGGGCGCGGGCTGGTGATGGGGGTGGAGGAGTCGATCGTGGTGAAGCATGTGAGAGAGGAGGTCAGCAAGGGGCATGTTGGGCTCGTGGGCGAGGGTGTTGAAGCTGAGGTTACCGGGGGTGGTGTGTTTGTTGGTGGTTGTTCGCCTGCGAGGTTGCGGGTGATGCTATCGACCGAGTCAGTGCGGATGTTAGACATGTTGATGGAGGATGCGGCCATGTCGGGGGAAGAGGGGGTGGAGGACGCGGCCTGAACGACTGTGGAGGATGCAGCAGCAACGGTGGCGGTGGCAGCAACGGCGACGTTGGTGGCGGCGCGTTGGGAGTTCTTGGTTTGGCGTGGTGGCATGTGGGAAGTGGGGGGGCACCCCCTCGCTCCTCCCGCATGCTCCAACTGAGCCTGCCTCTCCCGGAGCCACTCCCCCCCCATGGCGTCCACAACCCCAAGGGGAGGCACACGCTCAACCGTTACGGGGACCCAGAAAGTACGGTTGGGATATCAGCATCCAGTGGGCACCCTTGCAGGTGGCTCCCCATGTCCAGATCTGCAGAGCCCTGTGTACGACCGTGCCCCTGGGAGCATGCGCGTTCAGTTTGTGAGTGGTAGTGCGTCAACCTAACGCCATGTCGGCGGCATATGCACGAGGTTGCGGATTTGAACCCGCAACCTCAGACCACAATGTGCATTTCCAACCGGTGCCCTAACCAGGGACTGGCGCGTCCCTGTGGCACCACTGTGACTGTGGTGCGAAACAGCCTCCCGGCGGTGGAGCCATAGGAAGGTGAAGCCCTGAGTTGGAGCTGGGTGACCCCTGGCGCAGCGGCCTGGTAGCACCAGTCTGGGCTGATACTCCCGGTTGGGTAGCGAGGCGCGAGAGTTCTCTCCTTGACAGATCACGGTGTAGTGGGTGGGCCCGTTGCACCGTCGGTAGGCCTGACCCCGACGCGGAAAGCCCTCTGGCGAACATCCTCCCTGGGTCATGAATTCTAATTGGAATTTTATTTATTTGAAATTAATTTGGGTAGAACAAAATTTTGAAGGATCCGAAGGAGAGATTTACAAAATTCGTTGTTAAAAATATTGGTAGAAAATAAAATTCAATTTATTTTAAAATTATTTACGTGAAATTTTGGAATATCTTCGAATTATAGAAAAAGAACTAGGAGGTGGAATTTTAAAAACTTTTGTTGAAATTTTGGAAAATAATAATTAATTTCGAAGGACGGGATTAATTTCGAATGTGAATTTAAAGAAATGTCGGCAAAGAAAAGAAATTTCGAGACAATTTTGTGCAATCAGACTCGCTCTCAGTCACACTTTTCACGCATGCAAATAGGTGCGCAGCAAACTGGCGACGAGCGCCCACTCAGAACTCAGAGATATGGTAACCGAGAACACAGTTCAGATTCAAGTTCACTTTGATAGCTATGGCGACTCGGCGCCCAAACAACTCTCTGTTAGGATACGCAGGATCACCTTGGATATCCCACACGCGATACTCTGAACACACAAACACACATATACTGAGCTCTACCTACAGCTATGGCAGCTACCCAGGAATGAATGAATGACAGGGCGCTGCCTCTTGATTTATACTTCTGCAGCTCGTTGGTCTGGCCCCTTTCCTATGCCCGTAGTGCACACAGTCCCATGCGGTACTTGCTTGCCTAGACCAGCACTGCCTAGGACTGGGACTGCTGACTCAGCACGGGTAGACTCCACCACTTGCCTCACCACTTGCCTCACCACTTGCCCACTTGCCTCAAACTAAATGTGGGAAGCTCCGAACGACCACTACTCGGACCTTCAGGAAGGCCGTAGACTTGGCCTTTCGATACTGTATTAGCTACGACCTTGACCTTTCTGGACTATAGTAGCTACGACCTTGACTCTTTGAGAAAGCTACAGCTACGACTTCTAGACCTGACTGGGACTCCTGCTCGACAGGTCTACAGATCGAACCCCTGCTACCTATAGACCCTACGACAACCTACCGATTGTTACAAATACACAGGTCACAGGTTCAACTCTAGGGGTCGACACAAATACTGTACACGCATAATGTGGGGCTTAGGGATCGAGCCCTGGGATCTGCATCAGCTACTGCGAACTGGTGAATACCGTTTCACTCCCGCCGGCCTAAATTCGAGGTCCTCCAAGAATAATTTAGTCCAAGGTAGGACCTTTACCTTTCTGATCTCTCTCGCAGGCTCTAACTATATCGAGAGCTGTCCCTAGAAGTTCCGCTCTAGTGAACCAGCGGTCATCCTCCGGTTCGTGATATGCAAACCGGACCTACGATGCCGTGAATGTGATATCTTTCGTCCATGTCGGGAGGGATCATGGACCGCCTAGATGGGAACTGTTGACTTGTGACACACGGCAACAACTTTGATACGTGAAACACAGGGTAGGTGTGGAGGTGTGCTGGTATCCCCACTGTGTAGGACGGCCCATCCTCTCCACCCTTAACTTCTAGAACTGGCCACGGTCCTCTATACGCGAGCAGTAACTTTGGCGAGATGTTTTCCTCAGGAGCAAACTCTTTGGACTTGACCCAGACCAAGTCGCCTACCTGGAACTGTGACGGGCGACGGTGCTTATTAGCCTGTTCTATCATCCGGTATTGGGCCTTCCTGAGGTTCTTAACAACAATGGCTATCTCTTTCTCGTGCTATATCGCGAACTCCCTGGTACCGGGCGGTAGCCTGTGAATCTGATCCCGGTTAAGTCCCTCAAACGGTCCACGTGGTCTAAAGGACTTGTGCAACTCGTTGGGAGTGCGACAGGTGGACAAATGCACGCTGTTATTGTATGCACTAGCTACCTTGGGTAACATCTCGTCCCAGTTAATCTGATCCGGTCTAATGTGCATGCGCAAAACTTGCTGCAGGCTTTTGTTCATGTGCTCTGTCTGATCGTGAGTCTGTGGATGGCGGCCAGATGACAACGGCTTAGATGCATAGACTCTCATTAGTTCCTGCCAGTTCTGGCAAGTGAAGCGGGTGTCTCTATGTAGACAATGGGACGCCATGCTCACTAACCCAAAAATCGAAGAACTTCTGAATAACTAATTCGGTAAGTGCCTCTGCAGGCAAAGGAACAAAAATAGCATACTTGCTAAATCTATCAACTACGACCATGACTTGGCTATTGCCGTGTCTACTCTTGACACCGGCATCCATAAAGTCAATGGAGACTGAATCTCCAGGCTGGTCTGGAATAGGCAAGGGTTTAAGAAGACCTAGAGGGGCACGCGTAGTAGTCTTGTTCCTTTGACAGACTTAACAACTGCGGACATACTCTATGCAGTCGTTTTTCATTCCTGGCCATGTGTACGCGTGCGTAAGATTGGCTAAAGTCTTTTGCCAACTGACGTGTCCCTCTGTATCATGGCATTCCCCTAGGATCAAACTGCGGATTTCCTCACTGTTGGGAACGCATAGGCGGTCTACTACATTAGTCTTCTCAAATAACAAACCCTCTGTAGTGCGGTAATCTGGCTCAGTCTTTGGGGCCTCCTTAACCTTCTTGAGGAGGTCGCTATAGATAGGGTCCTACGCATATGCCTGTCTAACTTTCTCTTGCAGGTCCCACCCTATGTCCAAATAGTGAACTATGGCTCCAAGGTAGTCTGATCTCCTACTCAGAGCATCCGCCACTACATTGTACTTGCCCTTAATTGGCTTGAGCTCAAAGTCGTAGTGGTCTATCTCAGCGGCCCACCTAGTCAACTTAGGTGTCATTTTGGCCTGTGTCTTCAGCCATCTAAGYGTYTCRTGGTCWGAATACACYTTGAAGTGCCTCCCAAGCAGGTAATGCTTCCAGTGCTCTAAAGCCTGCCTGAGAGCGTAAAGTTCCCTCTCATACGTCGAGGTAGCAACCTTCTCTGAGGGCATCCTCACTGACATGAACTCTACGGGTCTGTAGCCATTGCCGTCGTCCTGCTGTAACACTATGCCAATACCATACTGACTCGCGTCCGTGGTGACGACAAATGGCAAGGACGGATCTGCTACTTTGAGGGCTGGGTACTCTATCAACGCAAGCTTTAACTTCTTTGGTGCAGACGTACAATCCTTATCCCACTGCCAGATTGCCTCTTTCTTGAGCAATCTGCGAAGGGGAGCGGCGACAGTGGAGAAGTTCTCACGAACTTCCTGTAATAGCGGGGCGTCGACCAGTCTTTAATTGCCTCTTACTGTCCTCAGGCGTAATGCCATCTCCGTCTAACACGTGGCCCAAGTACAGAACTTGTGTCTTGGCCCACTCACACTTCTTTGCGTTGATCTTGAAGTTAGCCTCTCTGAGCTTCTCCAAGACTTGCCTCAAATGAACCTGGTGCTCCTGGAGGGTCCTACTGACTATTAGGATGTCGTCTAAATATACTACGACAAATTTATCTAACCAAGGCCTAAACAGACCATTCATGCATCACTGAAATGTTGCTGGCGCATTGGTCAGTCCAAAGGGCATCACTATGAATTCATAATGCCCATATGTAGTTCGGAACGCAGTCTTGTACTGGTCATCAGGATGGACTTCTATCTGATGATAACCGGACTTCAAATCTTTGAGAAATACTTGCAACCCTGCACCCGATCTAAGAGATCGTCTATCCTAGGCAGTGGTTCGACATTCTTGATTGTGATAGCATTCAGACCCCTATAGTCTATGCACACATGTAGCTCTCCTTCCTTCTTGGGGACAAATAAAACAGGTGCTCCAAAAGGAGACGAACTGGGCCTAATCCAACCCTTCTCAGGAAGCTCGTCCAACCGCTTTCGCAACTCCTCTAACTCTCTAGGGGACATCCTGTAGACTGCCCCCTTAGGAGTTCTACTGCCTGGCTCTATCTCTATCCTGTGCTGGATCGGCCGCGACACTACTCCTTTCGGCTGCTCTGAGAGATCTTTAAATTCTTCCAGCAGCTTGGCAAGGGCTGGATCCGAGGAACTGTCCTCTTGATTCGTCTCAGTTACAGGCCTTACATACACTACGAAGACCTGATCCTCTAATTGCTCCTTTCTCACTAATCACGCGAACGCGGGAGCACTTAAGCAGCAATGTGCCAAGGAGTTGTCTACTCCAGACACATGGAACATACGAGTTGTCTTAACTTCGCCTGACGAACTAGGGAGCCTACACTCATGCTCTCTTAAGGGGAGTGTGGCTCCTGCTGCCTCTCCCCAGTCCATACCTAGGACTATGTCAAAAGGAAGGTCATCTTGAACGAGGAGAGTCAAGGAACGGAGAACTTTTTCCACCTTCCCATCTTTCTCGAGGCGGAAGTACGCCTGGACTCCCTCTACGTAGTCCTCAACACGCATTGCGCGGTTGTCTGCGAGGACACTAACTATGGGGTCTTCCAACTTCTGGACTTTCAATCCGAGCGTCAGCTTCTTCAATGCTCTACAACTAATATAGCCACGGGTGGTCCGTGAGTTTATGAGGGCTCCCACTACTCCTTAACACTTCTACACATACTAACACTAGTTGTCCTTTACTATCTTTCTTCATCTTTGCCCAGGTAGGCATCCTATCCTTCAATTCATCTGCCACGCCTGTGAGGGACGTGCCTAGAGAGACGCTAACACAAGCAGTCTGTGGACAGCTAACTAGGCACAGGCTTGCAACCTCTGCCGAAGGCTCATGTGGTGTGGGAGTTTCCTGTACGCGCGCGCTCGCTTCCCCACATGGCCTAATAGTAGGGGCAGTTGCGACCCCTACCGGCGGCTGCCTTTTGACTCCTGGGCAGCCCAACGGGCCTGTCTATATTTCGGACAATATCCGATTATATGGGCAGGGTCACCACTGTAAATGCACTGCCCCTGCTCCATTCGCGATTGCCACACTTTCTGATCTAGGCCCAGGTCTTCCCAGGGCCGGCCTTGCGGCCAATTTGGGTGCCAACCTCCTCTCCTTTGAGGTGATCCTCCACCTCGTTTCTGCGCGGACCGACTGGGACCTTGACGATTTGGCGGGGGACCTTGACCCCTACCTCCCCCTTGGTGGTTCCTTTGGCCTCCAACACCGTGAGCGCTCGATCCTCGGCCTCCCGTGGCCTGGCCCCTTTGGCCTTGGCCTCCTCCTCTACCTTGCGGCCTTCCTCCAGCCGCGACGACAGCATAGGACCTCCCTTGTCCTACACTACTGTCCTCCTCTTCGAGGCCCCACTCAATCTGGCTGTAGGGGACCTCGTCAGTACCACCTTCTTCCACGTAAGGATCATATGATCCTTAGCCCTAACCTGACCAGAGATGGTACGCCCTTTCCACTTCTTTCCCTTGTCTAAGTCCTTGTGCCAGAAAGTGGAAACTGGCATGGACTTGGCCTCAAACAAGACCAGTTCCCTACTCAATGCATCGTACGTAATGTTGGGTTGTTGGGTCTTGTCGAAGAAGTGCCCTCGTAAGGGCTCTGGCATGGCACGATAAAACAACTGAATCAACTGGGTCTCAGTGACCCCGTGGTCCGGGACGGCTACCAAGTCGTCCATGACAGCCTTGAGTGCTCTCGCACTCTTCCACTGTCGTGAATGGATGGTTTGGAGCTTGTCGGAGGCCCTGACGCCTCTAGTGACGTCAGCAAAAACCTCTCGCGCAGGAGTTTGAGGAAAATGGCGATGGGGGTAAGCCTAGAATATGCGATCATGTTGTGCTCGCAGTCTGCGGCACGTGCGAGGGACCTGGCGAAGCTGGCTGCTTCGTCTTTCAAGGCGTGGACGGCGACGAGGACTTGTTCCTTAAGTGCGATATGCTGTAAAAAGACATGTCTTTATACTGGCCTCCCAGTTGTCGAAATTTTCCTCTTTCTTTCCGCTATATGGGTCAGGGAATTTTAACTTGATTGGCTCTTTGCGGGGACGCACCGTGGCCTCTGTTGTGGCCACAACTTTCGCGGTCTCAATGGCGTTAGGGGCGATATGCTGCAAAAAGACATTTATTTATACTGGCCTCCCAGTTGTCGAAATTTTTCTCTTACTTCCCGCTATATGAGTCAGGGAATTTTAACTTGACTGGCTCGTTGCGGGGACGCGCCGTGGCCTTTGTTGTGGCCACAACTTTGGCGGTCTCAATGGCGCGAGCGCAGAACTTGTCTACGCCATCCCTCAATCTTCTAATTTCGGCCCCGACGTGGCCCACCACGTCACTCGCGAACTCCCTGAACCCGGATCGCATTGCTTGCAGGGTCACCTCTTGACCCTTACGGGCCTGGTGCTCCTCTAGCCAGGCCTCACTCAAGACTTCTAGGAAGCCCATCATCTTATCTAACTTGGTAGAAACCTCTGTTTGGGCCTGCAATTCCTGCCTACCGGTTTGCACTTGCTCAACCTCCCCGGCTATTCTGTTGGCTTCCTCCCTCCTTCTCTTCTTTTCCCTCGTCATTTTCAACTTCCGCTCCAGCTTCTTCTCATCCTCTGTCGCCTGGCGTTCCAGAGGATCCTCTATCAACTCCAATGCCCTGGCAAACGCCTCCCTCTCCTCCTGCGGCACATATAACTGTGCCTCTTCATCTTCTCCCAAAGATAAGTTAGCCACCCATTCACTAATCTTCTTCTCCCTCCATCTGTCCTCCTCTTTCGTGCCACTTGCTTCCCCTCTCTGTTCTCCACGTCTTCTTTCAAGGGGCTCTTCTTCTTCTTCCTCCTCCTCCTCTGCTGCTGCTTTTCCCTCTGCAGCCCTTCTTCTTTCCTCCTCCTCTCTCTCTAACATTATCATCTTTTCCTTTTGAAATCTCAGCATCTCCTCCTCCAATCTCTTCTTCTTCGCCGCCTGCTCCTCCTCAATGGTCTTTAGCTTTGCCTGCTTCAAGAGCTCCTCCTCTTTCTTCTCTCTCAAAAGGGCGGCAGTCCGGGCCTGCTCGACCTCGGAGGGGGCAGTACTCTTCCTAGCACGGGTGTCAACCATGGTGATTGGTGCACAACCAGACAACCGGTTCAACTCCTCACCACTTAGACTCTACTCCCCCTGATTGACTCACCTAGTGTCTCAATCTAAAGACTTACAGAAAACTATCAACTAGGGTCTCTAACCTAGACCTACTCTAAGGTTGTCACTACAAGACCTGTTGCTGATCAGGAGGCATTTAAGGAGATCCCCCGTAACTCCTCAGGAATTATTTAACGTCGCAGACAGGACGACGCGATCAGCAGGTCTTCTCAACATTTGGACGGCCTGTTATGCAGCCCACAACTCGGATTTTGGGCCTACCGTGCCACACTGAGCAGCCCGCTGGTCAGTACCTGTCCTTGGGAGGGTTCGTGTCCTCCGGGACAGTCGAGTCGTTAGACGCAGTCTTTAGCCCTACTCAGCCCGTGTGGGTTTGGTCAACGAGGCCCTATCCTTCATCCCCAGAGTTCCTAACACCTGGACAGAATAGACCATGCAGGAAGAAGAGACAAACAGACTTGACTCAACAAGTACCACAGGGTGTGTGCACATCCATAGGGCGAGGGAATAGGTTGAAGGCTTGGCGAGATTATACCGGCTCCAACTTGGTCAAACTCGTGGTCAACGGCCTTGGTCAACGCCCGGTCAACGCTGCAGTCAACCCCCGGTCAACCCCCAATCAACTCCGGTCAACCCCGGGCAACACCTCTGGTCAACTCTCGGTCAACGTCGGTCAACCCCGATCAACACCTTCGGTCAGCTCCGGCTATGGCGGCCGCTTTCACTCTTCTCCTTCCTTTCTCCCTACCTCGCCTCCTTTTGTTCACCCCGACTGTTTTCTTTCTCTTTTTTTTTTTTTTTTTTTTGATCATCTCTCTCTTCACCTCCTCGGCTATGGTTTCTTCCACCTTCCTCAGTCTCCTCCTTTGTCCTCTCTTTCACCCTCCTTCGTTTCTTTGTGGTCGAGCTCCGCGGCTAAGGCCGCGTCTCACTTCATGGGACTGCACGGCACACTTCACAGGTAAGTGACAACCAAACTTGTATCGCTCATCTCTCTCTCTCTCTCTCTCTCTCTCTCTCTCTCTCTCTCTCT